TAATCTGCTATTTCTCCCGAATGTCACGTAAAGCAGTGAGAACTGGTTTTCAGTTAATTTCCCTGGTTAAATAAAATTTAAATAAATGATATAAATGCTCTAATAGTAGATGTAAGTTAGTGGTTTACTTATTGTTAGTTACTGTAATGTTGCACTGCTTTATTTGGTTAATCGTCCAGTCTGTGAAGAAGGCATTCAAGTAAGAATTGCATTGTAGTATAACTCATTTCCTGGTGCGTACAATTTGTATTAAGTCAGCGTTCACGGTTCAACTTCTGATATTCAGATCGAGTTCTAGGTCAAACTGGTTTGTTCGACTTTCAAGAAATTCGAGTTCTAGTGAGTTAGAGAATCGAGGTACCTGGGCATAAAAATTTCCTAAAACCCTAAGAACCTATTTAAAATGAACTTCACTGAGAAGTTGAGTAAGTTGAAGGAAGATATTAAAAAATGGAGAACCCTACCTCTTTCGCTGGTTGGGCGGGTAAATGTTGTGAAAATGGTGTCCTTACCAAGGTTTCTATATTTATTTCAAAACATTCCACTGTTTATCCCCAAATCATTTTTTAAGTCCATTGACACTATCATTATGCCTTTTATCTGGGGGTATAAGGACCACAGGATATCAAAGATTTACCTTCAGAAATCAAGGGAGCATGTGGGGTTGGGGATACCATGTTTCTTACATTATTATTGGGCTGCCAATGTGAGAGCTATGATATATTGGCAATATGGATATCAAGTGGAGGACATCTCATGCCTGCCTCCATGGCTTGCTATTGAAATTGGCCTAACCTCGGGCATCTCTCTCCCAGCTCTCCTTTTCGAGTCACCTAAACCTCCTGCGACATTGAAAAACCATTTTATAGAGACCAACGCTCAGAGAATTTGGAATCAAATTCGGAAATCTTGTAAACTCCCTGACACATCAGTTCATGCCCCAATCTGGCATAACCATTGCTTCTTGCCATCCTTAACAGACATGACCTTTAAGGATTGGAGTAAAAAGGGTATAATAGCCTTGAAAGCTCTTTATGTTGGCAGACGCTTCGCGTCATTTGAACAGCTTCAATCAAAGTTTTCCCTCCATACACAGTTCTTTAGGTACTTACAACTGCGGAATTACACTCACCTAAAGGATTATTAGGAACACCATACTCAAATCAAGGATTTGATTCAACATTTATCCATCTGGCAAATCCTTACCCAGTACAGGGTCATGGGTAGTGTTGTTAAACTGGAGATGCTCCTGTAGCTCAACATGTAGAGCATTGTGTTACCAATGCAAAGGTTGCGGGCTCAGTTCCCAAAGCATGCACACACAGTTTTCTCTCTACTGCAACTCACTTTGGCTAAAAGTGTTGTAATAATATATGGTAACAATGCTGAATACATTGTGCCCATATCAATTTAACATTTTTCTTATTAAATAAATATATACATTATATACATATATATACAGTGCCTGACAAAAGTCTTGTCACTTAACCAAGTTGTAGGAACAACAAATAATAACTTGACATGTAGTTAATCAGTTGGAATCAGAAATGGCTTATAAGAAAAGGCAAAGCCCTCTAGATTATGCTTATTATACCAAAATAAAGTTTTGCATCATTCATTGAGTTTTGTCATGGAATTAGGACAGAAAG